ATAAGGAGGCAAATATTGTTACAAATGTCCAAAGTCTGGGTTGTCAGGGAGGTTGTTGGTTGTTTTATCACAATGCTCAGGTAATATGAGAGTCACTTCATTTTTTCATTCATCTTAATCATATCTTTTGTTGGTGAAAAAGACATACTGTTACATTATCACAATTTCTCTCTTGTCCACTTGGCAAGTTTTGTTCATAAGAGATTTTTATTCTATTGTCTATTTCTGAAAAGGACCTGTTTCAAATTATACTTGGCCTCCCTAAAATGTATCCTGGTTTAATCATAAACTACACCCATTATTCCAGAACCTCAAATGCAGTGCAGAAACCCTTCCTCTCGAGGCAGTATTCTGAACTGTAGTGAAAGCATGGTTTATAATTTCCCAAGATATATATGATTGATTAGTCTTTGATTTTGATACTTCATTGTTTTTTGAAAAGCATTTTCTGTTTGCTGTGTGCCACGCATGGCAGCCTGCCTGTGGTAAAACACAGCGACTCATGAAAGCAAGTGCCTTCCCTAGGCTATATCTTCTTTTAGTAAGATAATACTTGGTCCACTACTGTTTTGGACAGTTTTCAGAATTTATTGAAACACAAAAAAATTTAAGCTATATTTGTTAATAATATAGAAGAAAAATAAATTTGCTAATTTGAGTGCAGACTTTGTATTATTTATATTTCCTTGTTCAACTCTTTTGCTACCAACCCAGATCATTAATTGATAATGGCTCACTTAAAATATAAACCCTGCCCATCAGTAAAGAAATATTATCTTATGGAATATAGGATTTCTCATAACCTTAAATTTAACCATCCAAGTAACAAGCAGGAGATGGAAAATTACATTTCTAAAATATAGTTACTCATAATATCGATATTTGATAGCCTAGAAGCATATTCCAGGTTGCAGAAGGTGAGCTACCAAAGCAAGTATTGGTACATACCATGGTGTCGAGCCGACCAATGACTTCAAAGGAGAAATCCACGCCTCCATTGCTCATTTCCTTCAGCACTTGCTCAATGGGTTTGTCATAGTCTTGGGGGTTGATGCACTCAGTGGCACCCACCTCTCTGGCCTTTTTGAATTTGTCTTTGTTGATGTCCACTGCAATGATCTTGGCTGCTCCAGCAGCTTTGCAGCCAATGATAACAGAGAGGCCAACTCCTCCCAAGCCAAACACAGCACAGGTGGAGCCCTGGGTGACCTGTGTTTGCGGAAAAGGTAAAAGTAGATTGATACTGATTGTTTGTTAGAAAGTGCCTGAGCCATATAAAGTTCCAGCCGTTGTTTCCTCTCAGGAGCTACTCAGACTCCATGTTGCCCTGCTGCCAAGCCTCTTTGGGCTATGGTTACATCATATTTAAATCAAGGGTCTCGAACTAAAGCAGTGTTTCTCAAACTGGACTATACATGAGCCTCATCTGGGAACTTTCAGAAATCACAGCATCCCTGCCACAGCCATGCCAATCAAATCAGCGTTACTTGCAGGTATGACCCTGTCCCCAGGGCACTCCAATGGAGAGCCCGGAGAGCCACTGAGCTGAATAAGCTTTGCACTTTAAGTATCAGTGACTCTCATCATGATGACATGACAATCTCAGATCCAGCTTCACACACAAGAGCAATTTTGGGGCTATGATACAAATGGATGAGGTTACTCAGGAAACAACTATAATCTAATCAAACTCAATAATTAACTCCTTCCTTAGTTCAGTAAGTTTCTGTGGACATAGGCAATGCAATGAGATCAGAAAATAGCTCTGAAGCCACTGGCTGTGGCTGCTGAACAAGCCCAATCTTCTATAGTCAGCATTTGGTAGACAAAATATCCCTGTCCCAGGTAAGCTCATATCATAGCCCAGGTAATATCATAAGTGATAATTCATTGTGTGTTCACTCACTCATTCCTTCATCAAATGTTATTAAATGCTATGAAGCACAATACCGTTTTCCACTTGGAAATATGGGGCTCGTCATTGTGAGTCAAAGGTGCTAGTAATTCTGTATCGTGATTCAGATCAAAATCTCAGGAGAGATTCCAGCCTCAGATCAAATACTTACCAGCTTTACACATGTAGGCAAATGGCTTTGTGTCTGGACCTCAGTTTTATAAAACAAACCATGCTATAGCATTTGAGAAGAGGTGTCTAGAACGAGTTTCTACTGATACATTCCACTTCTGATGCATGTGTGTGGTGGTAAGGGAGATGTGGTACTGAAATCCCATACAGAGCGGCAGAAATGTGACGCCTCATTAATTTCACAGAGTGGGTGACCCTGGGTGTGAGGCTGTTTCAAGTAAGGTTTGGAATACACTGTTGACCTGAATCCTGGACATAGTGAATACAGACACATTTGTCCTTACAAACAACTCTTTGGAGCCATTGTTTATCTGATGTCTGATGCATCAGAGCTGTTGGTTCCTCACTGCTAGTGAGAGAAGGGTGGTTTATCTTCAGCTTTCTCCTCTGGGGTCATAGAGAGGGAGGAAAAGGATGATCTAGTAGCTTCTTATTTTAAAATTTGAAATAGAAAAAACCCTTATATTTTGTTTACATTGGCTCCCTCAACCTAGCAGAACCTATTGCCCTGATATGTGTACCTTTGCACTCTAATTGTAAAATAAAATGAGCCCCCAAGTCTAAAACTCAGCAGTCTCACAAAAGCAAATATAGAAGAGGTGTTGAAAAGGAAATCTTTACTTTTCTTTTCTTTACCTAAGTATCAAGAGCCTTTTGTGATAAACAGGTAAATTTCCTAGAACAGGTTTTCACTTTCTTTCTACTTTTCCATAAATTCTACTTTTTACTTTTCCATAAATTATCACCTCCACAAATCTATGAAAATAACCCATGATCCCTAGAAAAAACTTCTTCCCTATGGCTGCTGGCAGGCTGAGTGTATCATTATCCATGGCCAACCCTACCTTGGCCACTTTGATTGCAGAGCCATAACCGGTGGAAAATCCACAGCCGATGAGGCAGACTTTCTCCAGTGGTGCAGCTGCATCGATCTTGGCTACGGAGATCTCATTCACCACTGTGTACTGGGAAAAGGTGCTGGTGCCCAGGAAGTGGTGGATGGGCTTCCCTCTGCAGGTGAACCTGGTGGTGCCATCCAGCAAGGTGCCCTGAGGCTGTGCCAAACTGGTCAGTGAAACACAGACACACAAAGGACATGAGATGGAGCACAACTAATGTGCAGCTTCATTAGCAGAGCAAGAAGAAGGAAGACACCTACTCGTTTTTCAAACAGAAGTTGCTTTCCGGGTGTTTACAATTCCTGCATTTTCCACACTGGGGAGTAAACAGTGGGATGACTTTATCACCTGGAAGGGAAATACAATATATTGTTTTCAATTTCTACCCAGGAATTAATAACGTAAGTAAAGCTCACACATAGAGGCATGTGTCTTTGAAAATTTCTCCAAGAAATACAGTCCAGTCACAAGTATATCACTGGTCATTGCCTTCAGCTCTACTATCCATTGGATTCTGTGTCTGAAGATATTCAAATAGGACATGAAGGGGCAGATAACAACATGGATTAAAAATTATTTCCACTATATTAATAGTTGACATTATTGTGCACACTGACTTTACCTGGGAACTTCACACATCATCACACTGAATTCTTAATGAGAGCTTAAATATTATCATGGCAAACATAAATATGAATTTTAGCTTCTATGAGATGTTGGAAGATGGGATGTTTTGTACAAAGCTACAATACAGTTAAATAAAAATAAATATTATTTCAATAAAATTGTAAATATTTAATCATTGGTTACATTAAAAAATGAGAAGTTGGATCATCAGTCTTCAGCTTTCCAGAGTCTGTGTTTATCTTTATTATATATGAAATTGTTTTAAAATCATGTTTTCTTGTTCTTTTATTGAGCTTATTGGTTCGTTTTAGGTATATAGTACAATTACATTCACTATTGGGATCTTGTACCTTTACATGACAGGTCTTGGTTCTCAGTTTTTCCCCTTGTCCCTGCCCTCCCTTCACCCTCTCCATCCCTCCCCATTTACAAACACTTTATTTCCATTATGTCATTTTTTCCTTTCCCTTATTAACGTTCCCCTACCCTTCCCATTTTCCCTACAACTTTAGCCGTTTTCTTCCCATTTCACATGGTCAATTATCTCATTAGGATCATATGTACTATTATAGTTTTTCACACCAGAGAAACTAAAAAATGTTCCTCATCACTGGTCTTTCATAAAATGTAGATGAAAACAACACTGAGATTCCACCTCTCCCCACAAAGAATGGCTGCTATTAAGAAATCAACCAATAACAAATGTTGGCAAGGTTGTGGGGAGAAAGGAAAGCTTCTCCATTGTTGGTGGGAATGAAAACTGGTGCAACCACTATGGAAATCAACATGGAGACCTCAAAGAGGTGGGACTAGGGGTTCCATTTGACCCAGCCATCCCTCTGCTGAGTATCTTTCCAAAAGAATTAAAAGAATCTTACCACAGTGATATAGGTGCACCTATGTTTATAGCCACACAGTTTGTAACAGCTAAAACTTGGAAGCAGCCTATTTGCCCATCAGTTGGAAACTGGATAAAGAAGATGTGCTTTTTCTATAAAATGGAATACTACTCAGCCATAAAGAATGATAAATTAGATCCATTCTTAGGAAAATGGTTACATATTGAGGATATACTCCTAAGTGAAATAAATAAGTCACACATATGTAAATACCGAATATTTTCTCTGGTGTAAAATCATGTTTTTTAAAAGTTTAAATTAACAAAAATGGCAGAAAGAATTCAAGAAATTCCATTGAAAATCTTAACAATGAATTATGTTCTTTCTTTCAGAATAGCAACAAACTCAAATAATTTTAGCTAGGAATTTATGAAAAAATCAATTTTTTCTGCTGTAGATAAGGTAGGGAAATAGAAAAATGGTCACATTTTTTTCTAACTAAAAGAAATAACATTACCTCAAACAGAAACTATGCTCTTTGTTTTATTTTCTGTTCAGAGTTTAACAATGTATTTGGAAAAGATGGAGGATGAATCTACTGGCTAAAGTGATGTTTTAAAATTAAACATAGCTCGCCTTTGAAATCATATGGCTATGTCTTCAACCAGACTCAGAAAAAATATTGGGCTATCACAGTTTATGAGTAAATGTGAAGATGGCAGCATAGAAATGGTTTGCTAATTCACGTCTCATTATGAAAACATAATGCTACATAATGAGATTAGGATTAAGTAGTAAAATGAAATCATTATTCATTTGCAACCAGTTCAAGGATAACCGTGACTAACATTTGAAAAGTGACATTGGTAGCTGCGGGCTTCCTGCCATGCTTCTTTCATTTCCTTCCCTCTGCTCTCGTAATGGTTTCATGAGCAGGAAGGAGGCCATCTTGGAAGAGGAAGTTGGTGAGCAAGTGTCACAGCAGAGCTGACAAGAGACCCTGATAACTCACTCACAGCCTTGCAGCCCTATCTTGTGAAGTCTCCACAGAGCAGTGTCATACACGGATCTAGAGACTGGGATGTAGGCTTCCGTTTTTTCCTTGTCCCATTTGTAGTTCTGCTTGGATCTTGACAGAGTCAGGGCTCTGCCACACTAACAAGGAAGCTATTAGAAAAGAACTGCACTCCGATGGGCCCTGCGTGCTTGTGATCCTCATGTACATCCAGCCCTAACCTGGTGCCTGGCATGGAATATAAACTCAATAAACAGTTACTGAAGGAGAAAATACATGATCCTTTGTATGTAGCGTGCCAGAGTCGGGCAGAGAGAAAGGAAAAGGGGCTGCCTTAATGTTCCCAGCTCAGCCAGGACCTTGCGCACCCCTAGGTGTCGCCATTCCTGATCTCGCCTGGATGATCTTGGCATCATGAACCAAAGCACATTGAGTGAGTGAATTCTATACCTGGCTTTACTGAAGTCACCCCTTCTCCAATGCTTTCCACGATGCCAGCTGCCTCATGGCCTAGAATTATAGGAAGAGGAAATTCAAGGTGTCCAGTAACCACATGGTCATCTGAGCGACAGATTCCTCCGGCCACCATCTACAGATGAAAGGGCAGATGATAAGATCCAGAAATGACCATGACTTTCAGAAGATTTAACATAGTTTCCCAAAATTTGGCTTCTAAAGAGTTCCAAGATCTTGCTAATAATTCACCTTTAGGGCCAGGGATTTAATTCAGTGGTGACACCGCATACCTTGTAAGCACAAGGACCTGAGTTCAATCCTCGGTACAAACAAACAAACAAACAAACAACTCACCTTCTTTCCAAATATAAAACAGTTATCTTCAAAAATATCCAAAACTCTCCTCAACCTTTCTTTTCTGAATTAGCAATTTAGAATAATCCTGTGAAATGAGTGATCCTGAATTTTTTGTTTTGTGTAATATGCAAGAGTTCATACTTTTTTGTGGAGGCAAACATTACAGATTAACACCAAGGAAATATCTAATGTTTACTGATTTTGAAATGTTCTGATTTTTAGACCTACAGTGAAGGAGAAGTAGAAAAGTTTTCACCTTAATACGAACTTCATGGGCCTTAGGTGGAGCGACCTCCACCTCCTCGATGGAGAAGGGTTTATTTATCTCCCATAGCACAGCTGCTTTGCATTTTATGACCTGGAAAAGCAGATAGAAAAATGAAGCTTTTGCCATCAGTGATTGTGTCTCTTCACCTTTGTACATACAATATCTAGCCCCATGTCTCCATAGAAATGAACGCATCTGCTTTACAAGAATAAAAATACCTTTTAAAAAATGTGTAAAGCAACAGCAGAGTGACAGAGAAACACAACTAACTTTATAAGACATTGAGATGAAACAGAACACATTCTTTTAGGCCACCCTTATGTTGTCCTTTTTTTTTTGTACCAGAGATTGGACTTGGGACCTTGTGCTCATGAGGCAGGTGGTGGCACTTATGTTATTCTTTTTTCTCTCAAAAGGTTATTCCTGATACTTCTTCCTATTGCTGTCATGGATTTGCTTATACACAACCATTGACTTATACATGAAGTTTAATTACCATTATTTTGATAATGTCAGTGTCTGTTCATGTAGTCTATTTATCCCCTTGCAAAATTTTCTGCTTAAGCCAAAAGGACCTGATCTTTTTCCTTTTTTAAATGATAGAGTCTTACTAGGTAGTTCAAGCAGGCCTTGAACTCATATGTAGCACAGGATGGCCTCAAACTCTCAGTGATCCACCTACCTCAGCTTTCTAGGTGCTGGGATTAGAGGTGTGTGCCATCATTCCCAGCAAGTCCTGATTTTATAATAATCTCATACTAACCTTTGCACAAAGGATGACTTCTTTTCTATTTGTCTATGTCTCCTCTTTAATTTTGTTTCTCTGCCTCTTCTGTGTGACTTGGGTTTATACTACTCTGGTGACACAGCTTTGGCAGTCTATTTTGATATGTAGCTCATGTACTGGAGCTCCTTCCAGATTCAATTTAAGCTAATATTACAGAGGTGATCGCTGGTAGCGTGTGTGAGTGAGTGTGCATGCGCGTAAGCTTTCATCTACACATAACTATTTCAAAACTGGAGAACTATATATATGAATTTCTAGATATCTCATCTTCCACATGAACATTCCTCAATTTAAAGCTGAATATATATTTTCAGTGTTTGGAAATAAACCATAAAACCTGTCTTCACTGCAGTAAAATATGTGCAGAGAAGAGGGCCTCTTTAGAGAGAATTAGCACAATCGCAAATATGATAGAAAAAGTTCAGTTGGAATCTGTTCTTCTGACAACTGACTTTCATTATTAATTCATCAAATCTGATTTTATGGAATGTACACAATGATCAGTGCTGAAAGAAGAATGAGATACCTGGAAGTGATTTACTGATGGTGAGTAGGTCCTAATTACTGGGGACCTTGGAATTGGCAGGCACAGTGTAGCCTGTGCTACTAGGAAAGTGATGGTGAATTATTGCCTTATTTTATAGATGAAAACATCGAGGCTCAATTGACTTAACGATTGAGTAATTTTTCCAAAGTCAAAAGCTGGCTGGGTTGAAAAGTGAGATCAATCCCGTGTTGCCTTTTCTCTCCCACCACGTAACAAAAACTTGAATAACAGCAACAATGATAATAATAGCATAACTAACATATATTGATTAATTTCTAGGCACCCGATCCTCTGCTGTATGCTTCTGAATATTAACTTAATTATCACAACTTCCTTATAAAATTTTTATCTCCATCATCATTTAGCATTGGAGGAAAGTAAAATGCAGGAAGAGGAGCATACATGAGGGGCTCCCAGGGTGCTAAGTGAGAGGACTGATTGCCTGTTACTGCAGTTATGACTTTCTCTAATGTGCTTCCTTTACATGTTTTGCTCTGTGGATTCAGTGTTTCTTTCAAGGTGATGATTGCTAACTTTAATTTGTATTTTTCATAACTACTTTTCTCCAGAAATGTACGGTACCATTGTAAATATTACCCAACGATGAGTGAAGTGATGTGAGGTAGAATAAGAACACTGTCAGCTGACCACTTATGTAATTTCCAACAAGTGTCCCACTGTTCCCTCGCACTGTGTGTCTAGAAACCTGAGAACCTGTCAAGAGAGTTCACACAACCAGGTGCAGGATGGAGCTATCCACTCCGAACACACAACTATCCTGGAAAGAGTTGCCCAGGCTTTTGCAATTAAACAAGTAAAGAGCATGAATTAATTATACTGAATGTCTGCGTGCAAGGCTCTGTGACTTCCACACAGTAAATGAGTAAGTTCCATAAAAGACAGAATCAAGTGTCTGTGTCCTCAGTGCTAACAAGTAATTCAAGCTTTATAAGTACTAATTTTCCATAAAATCTGATTAACTTTTGCATAGAGAAAATACTGTTTTATAGGGTTTCTCTAGAAAGTCTTCGCAATCGAATTCCTCAAATATATCTACTCCCAAACTTAATATTCATGCATTCTTAGGAAGAATATGATTGCAAAGACTCACACATTTGAATTAAGTTTTTTAAATAAAAAGATAACTTTTTGTAATGTTAGACTTACAAATTAGTCACATTTAGCTTGGAATGAATGAACACTTTAATAAACTTATTCAATGTAGGGAATACTTACTAGTTCCAGGTTCAATGATATTGAAGAATAGTTTACTTCTACTGCAATTCAGTATTCATCATATATTATAGCATATATTACACACTGTATTTCACTCTACACTTTCTTATGCTGACGTTGGCTTTAGATTACTCACCAAACTGCGTCATTTTATCTATTATATGAATGAGCATATACTTCCAACAGTGAAATCTTTTTGCTTACTTTTCCTGCAGTGCTCATGTTGCTTTTGTCTCCTCTGCAGGCCAGAAGGATGAATCCCCAGGCTTCGTTCCTGCTCCAGTACACAGAGCAAAATGTGTTGCACAAGAGTTCTGCTTGCTTAAGTAACAGTCACTTTCACACGTGATCTTGTGTTTTAACTACACCTATCATTTTGTTCTCAGTCAAGTCAATTCAGAAAGTAAAGGAAACAGAACTATCTTGAAATACTGGTTTGTGACGTACCAGTTGTGCAGAAAACTGATTTCATTAGGTAAAATACTTCCTTATATGTCCTATGTCTCTCTCTGTTTCTCTGTATCTCTCTCTCTCTTTCTCTCTTTGTACGTCTCTTCCTGTCTCTTTCTCTATGTGTCTTTCTCTGTCTCTCTCCCTCCCTCCGTCACCCCTTATTCCTTGTCTCCCTCCTTAGTCCTACTGAAATTACAGTTCTTTTCTCATTTGTCTTCACTAAACTGGGTGGTGAGGATGAAGTTGTAAGCAACAGGAGAATGAAGGGAGACAGACAGTGACATTCTGAGGATGCTGATGGCTCCAGCACTCCCTTCTTTGTAAGAGAGAAGCAGACACCATGGATGCAAAGGTGCTCACTGCCCTGTCATTTCTTCTGTCCACAGTACTGGTCAGCATCTGCTGAACACTTCTCGCAAATGGGTGGACAAATGTGATGGAGAGAGAGGCCTCTCCCTTGCCAAGGTGCTGTCTGGGCAGAGATCATGGCATGGGCTGGGGTCAGATAGACTCTCTTCCTTATAAGCTGTGCATATTTGGACTTATACAAATTTTACCTCCTTTTTAATCTGTAAGATGGTAAATAATAGTACCAACTTACTGAACAATGTAGAATCGAAGAAATGACCCATGCAAAACTAAAATGCCACTCGGAGGAAGCTCAGTTAGTGGGGGAGAAAGGCACACAGGAAGCAACTGAGCCTGCCTGAGAGGTGCTACATCCAGGGAAGGGAGTTCTGCCAGAAATACTCAGAAGAGTCTTGGCAGATGGCAGACATTTGCAATACAGACTAAAGAATCATGTTGGAAAATTGACCCAAAACCTCATTGGAACGTTTCTCTTGTCCTGTGTTTTTTTTTCCTCATTAAGTTTATTGGTACATTTTAGGTATACAGTACAGTTCCATTCATCATTGGGATCTTGTACCTCTACATGACAGGTCTTGGTTCTCATTTTTTCCCCTTGTCGCTGCCCTCCCTTCACCCCTCCTCCCCTGCCCCTTTACAATCACTTCATTTCCATTTTTCATTTTCTCATATTTTTTCTTTTCCCTTATTCCCTTTCCCCTACCCTTCCCACTTTCCTACACCTTTAGCCCCTTTCTTCCTGTTTCACATTGTCCATTATATCATTAGGATCTTATGTACAATTGCAGGTTATTCACACCAGAGAAACTATTCAGTATTTGCACATGTGTCCTGTGTTTAATGTCAGGAGTTCACGGAAGAGAATATGAGTTTGATTTTTTAAAAATGTTTTTAAAAATTATTTAATTTTATTGGTACATTTAAGGTATACAATAGAGTAACCTTCATCATTGGAAATCTGCACCTCTACATCATCCGTCTTGGGTGTTATTTTCTCCACCCCTCCCTATCTACAAAGACTGTGTTTCCATTTTTTTCTTTTTCTCATGTTAATTCCATTCCCCTCTTTCTTTTCCCCTGCCCCTCCTATTTCCCCTTCCCCTTTGCACCTTTTCTTCCTATTTCACATTATCTATTACACCTTTTAGTCGTTATTTACACTTTCAGTTTCTCACACTAGAGAAACTATTCAGTATTTACACATATGTGTCCTATTTATTTCACTTAAGAGTATCACATGAATGTGCATCCATTTAACTATAGTGTCCCTAGTTTCTCATGTTGTATTGATTCCTGAAGGCCACAGTCCATGGAACTACTTAATTACATACAATCTGCCAGTACATATCCCTAAACATAAACTCCATATTTCTCTAGAGTTGTCAGCAAATCCCAGTGTTGCCTCTGTCCAGCTTGAATTGTGCAGGTGTAGAGAGCCATGCTAGGTGTCTACCACTGCAGCCAGCAGAAAGGAGAGGAAGGTCTGCCATCTCATTGTGGTCATACACACTTGAGCAGGATTCACTTCTAAAAAATGTGCTTTACCCTTCTCTCTCACCCACCTGCCTTCACTTGTAACAGTCTATATGATAAGAGTTCAATTGTTTCATTTGTGACTTCAGTGTTTACAGGAATGGACAGGGTAGAGTACAGATGCTATTTGAATAGTTAATAAATTGATGGTTTATTTATGAAGCATGAATTTGCAGGAAGGTATTGATCACAGTTGGTTGAGCATCTACTTCTAGAACTCAGTAGGTGTATTTCCAACATTATCACATATAATCTTAGGAGAAAACCCACAATGAAGTTGTTATTATTGCTCCCATTACATAGACAAGGAAAGAGAAACTCAGAGTTTGAGGTCCTTAGAAGTCCTTTCTAGGACAGAAAAATTGACTTCAAAGCAGAACTGCACACAGGCTGGTGTTAATGTGATTTTTATAGTACGAATATGGCAGGCAATCACATGGTCGTCAAATGAGAGGAAGTGAGTGTTGTATCCTGAACACCTGGACACTTTTTTTTCTTTTTATTGAAGTTATTGGTACAATCTAGGTATACAATACAGTTACATTCATCATTGGGATTCTGTACCTTTACATAATAGGTCTTGATTCTCATTTTTTCCCCCTGTCC